ATACATGGGCTCATCGAACTTCACGTTCCTTTTAATTACATTGCTATGTTACGCTTAGGAGCTAAGTGCTTTCAAGCCACTCGATAACCAGATGATAAAATGACTAGTAGCTGACTAAATGAAAAAGCCTTCCTTCGAAATTGATTTCTCTCAGGTATCCATACACTACTAATTTAGTCGGCTCAATTTTCCATTTCCACAATCCAAATAAGGCGTCAGACCTCAATTCATAGACGGCGCCGAATACTCTCGCATTTGCATAGACTCACCTGTCTAGCAAACGGTAAACATCTTCATCAGGGTTCAGAGTCAAGCTGCCAGCGGATCAATCAACGATCATGGTGTTTCGATACAATAACCGCGTTCTATTGATATAAGCTGTATGCAAGATGGGGCTGCCTTGTTGGACAAATAAGGATGTTCATCGTTCTTCCGGAAGGGCGGACGTAGGAACCCATCCAAATTTAGGATCACTCAACGATTTGATTCTCCTCAGTTGTGATTTGCCATCCACAAGGACAGCATTCCAAAACATTTCAGAGACATTACCGAAGGTTCGAGCGATGGAATCCGGCTTGCTGTACTGCATTACATGTCAGAAATACATTACTCTATCAAGGCCGTTTAAGTAGAACAATTATCATCACTGAATATCACATTACTCCATTGATCCAATATGACGTTAGATCCCAAAGAGTAGTGCTCTCATCTTTCTTTATTAGTTATGTATTGCTGTGTAACAGTTGTTGTACATGGTGAGCATCAGTATTTAATCACATTTACCTCCGTGAATTTGAAATACTTACACCGAGTGTAGCAAATTAGCAAATGTTTTTCGCAAGTATTTTCATATCCCACGTTCCTTCTTTGAAGTAAAACAGAGAGGTACTTTTGAAATGTTCGAGATAACTTTCCTTGATCCGTGAATCGTTCGGTAATCTTGAGTCTATATGGGCAAGTGTTGGATACAAAAACTTGAAACCGAATGGGCAAGTATCCAGCCCTATTTCGACTTGTCATGATTTTCTGAATGACTTGCTTAATTCGTTTGGGTTGAATGCTTCAGCTTCGTTCGCAAACCACTTGTGTTTAATTTCACTCAAGACAATAGACATAGGTGGCACTCTTCTATGGTATGCACTTTTTTGTTATGGCCTCGACGTTCACTGATTCCACTAGGTGGCGGCAGAGTGCACTATGGAAGTACAAACTAGACAGTGGCTCTGAACGAATCCAATCCTTTCTTGCAGATCGAAACGATCAATTACTCACGGCATAATAAGGGGATACGCTCTTCCGATCAAATATGGCGTTGTAAACTAGCAATAAAGTCAACCTCAGCTTGAAAGATCGAGGAGAAACCCGTTAGACCCAGTTGTTTTCTTTTTATTCAGTGATTCGATACAACCTCGTACTTTTAGTTCTGAGAGAGGGAACCCATGTTCTCGTAAACAGTTTCTGTTCCAATCACTGGAATAACCAAAACTGGCACCAGGTCGATTAAACCGTTAATTGAAATACTCTGTCCACTTTTATCCCAAGTGGTTTCGCTTGCCGGTGTGCGACGACCTCCAATGCTGTGTATCCCGTGAAACAGCCATTGACTACTACCTAGTGACAGTGATTGCTGCTACGCTCACTTAGTGGTGTTACCATGGCGGCTTTCTCTCAGTGAATGACATCAATCAATTGCCCGGAGAGAATTGCATGCAATTGTAGAACCAGTCTGAAAATGGTGTCATTTATTCTATCGGTACGCGCTTACGATTAACATGGATCAGTTTTGTTCATGTTTAACTTTGATATAAAATGCCAACTACAAGGACGGAACTCAGCACTGTGTTGAAATTTCGCGATACATCTCCGACTGAGTATATCGACGAGGTAACTAGAATTTAACTGCCCACGTGCTACGGCATACGCATCCATGTCGACTTCGCATGCTTTCCAGCGTCATTTGGCTGCTACAAGTATGTGCTTTTTTGGCAGGTCATGAAACCCTCCCTGTTCGCTCAATGGGGTTAAATAAATTAGTTCTCGTTGTTGAGTCTGTGTGGAGGTAAAATCCTGTGTAAAGATTGAATATGTATGATAAAAAGAATTACTATAGTCAGCAACCAATAGAAAATGCCTGACTACTATTCCACGCGAGTACTCACAATTTCCGTTCACTTTCGGCTGGACAAATATGACGGCAGCTACAGTTATCGACTACTTGACTCAATTGTTCGACGTTTTTAGTTTGCATTATTACATACACTCCTACAGGGGTAACACGCATGCTTTTTTATTACAGACCTTATTGTGATGAACAGCAGACGGGTTGAACCCCATAGTCACGAGGGCCTGCTGTTCAGTGATGGAAATTGGCAACCTAAGCCCCGGGACTTGGAGTGGCGAACCACATAAGGCCCCGTTAGGTTGAGCGTAGTATTGAACCGGACGACAGCAACGATATCTACCACGACACACGGACTGCAACAATTCCTCACTGACAAAGGTATCGCAACAAGCAGAGTCCCATACAATCCACTGGNGGATAAGCGAACCACTGAGACCACGTGATTTAGGAAATGCCAATTCTTTCAACCAAATACAGAGGGAGAGAACACTCTGGGATGCCCTTCATTCGATTAGATCCTTATTGTGCATATCTATGAAACACCACGCGATGCCTTTTTACGTACAAGAGAATGTCGACGGCAGGAGTAACAATTCCGAACCGGTTGGCCACACCAGACCCCTTACTAACGCACCGCAGTATACGATCACTAATGAATGACATATTAGTGGGCGAAATAGAATTAATGAACCGCAATCCGGGATCTGTTCATATATCCTTTGCGGAGAGAAGAGTGGATACTGTCTCGCTCCGCGATTCCGCACCACCTGATTCGCTGTAGTTTATTCACAAGAGCAACAGAACATCCGCCCCTTCCTTTTGTGAATGAACAGTGCGAACGACCCAGGCATTGAAACAAAACAATTATCCAACCTATCACCCTCACCGCTCGAACAACGCATCCAAGGGTTTGCGTAATCTCCAATCCTAAACAGAATCCAATGATAGCCATGTCCGCAGTATACTCCTATCTGGGATATGCGGATAACAGTGTGCTAAGAAATGAAGATCTAGGTAAGTTACAAGCTTTTCTGAATAGTTTGAGTGCTAACGTAGCCATGTATTTTGCACCTTCAAAGTGTAAAATGTTGCAACAAGATTGGGTTGGCCCAGACCCCAACCTTATCCTAACTTTTTTTATTACAT